CACCCTTGAGCACCATTCAGGTGACATTGCGATTTGGTTTATTTCCGCCCCCCAGTTTTGATGGAGAGCACCCGGGAGGAAACGGGTCCCAACCCTCTCCCCTTTCCCCAAACCACACGAAAGGACTTTCGGTTCGCCGCATATTCAGAGTGCCGCCATGCCACAACGACACTATACATTTACAAACATCCATGCCTTCTCCGGGATTCGAGCCCGGACCCTTCGTCGCGGCAGTCAGCGACGATAACCACTGTACCGGTTGGGAGGCTCCTTTTCTTTGTGGTTCATTTAAGTTTAAAGGCCCACCACCGGCCGAGCGGTAAAGTCGCTGAACACTGGTAGTTCGGTCCGAGGTTCGAATCCCGCGAACGGGCTGGCTGCATGGGTGTTTTCGTGGTTTTCCCCATGTGTAACGTGTATACGAGCCAGTTTCCCTTAGAAAGTCCTCCACGAAGGCATCCCTCCACTTAGGCAGGTAGCCCTCGTGTGCTTTGCCATAATTAAATACACCACCACACACAACACACCATTCAAGTTTAAAATCCTTAGTAGTCCAAAAAAAAAGAAGAAGAAGAAGATATACGTCTGCATTTTCTTGATTGTAATATATGCTTTTTTTTTTTTTTTTTTTTTTTTTTTTTTCAATTTTTTTCTTTCTAAACTGAGCTGTTACTTCAAACAAATGAATATCGCAATCTGCTATAAAAGTTAAAGTACAGCTCTTTCACTGCAACCTTGTTTTTCCAAGCGTTCTTAGATAAAAGTGCGTTTGATATTTTGGACTTACAGATTTAACATGCAATGGACTTTAATAGCGAAATAAATTTAGATTTTGTAACTCTTAGTGACTGCAAGCAAGGTTCAATTCATTCCTCTTACGAAATTCTCCAACAAGGGCGCACTTGAAAATGACTGTAAATATCACACATTCACCTCGAATAGTCATCCTAAAATTTTCCTCTTTCCTGTTTACTGGCTCCGTTCCAAAGCTAATCAGCCCTGAAAAGGAGATCTAGAACAAAGTTCAGTTGCCATTCTGTTTAAGAATTCTCTCATTTCTCTGAAACTAAAATAAGAATAAAACGAAAAATGTTTACTTTTACTGTAAATTTGCGTTGTAAGAGCACGAATTCAAAATATTTAAGAGGAGTTATTGCAATTCCCTGTACGTGAAAGTGGTTGTCACATCCAGCTAACATTTGAAAAATCCTAGCGAGAGCACTGTTGCTGGTGTTAGGCCCCCAGTCCCCCTTTCAGTGGCAGAGAATGTAAGGAATTATAGCAGTTTCGCGTGCATGCTTTATTGGTTGTTGTAAAGAAAGAAGTAGAGGGCGCTGCTTGGCAGTAGCGCAACGCATGTAAGTAGAAACGAAATGTCGTTTGATTAGGCAACATGATTTCTGTGAAGGTAGTCCACCTAACAATAGGACAGTTGTAAATATGTAAATATAACGAATAATAAATAGCATTAGAAAACTGAACCATCGGATGTTTTGTGCTTGCTCTACGGGCCGCTATGGATAAATGCAGGTTCGTCACATTGGTTAACAGAACCAATTAACATTTGAAAGATGCATGATTCGAATCCTGGAGAGAGTACAACTGATTTTTTATATTGCTTGATACAAAATATCTAATGATTCCTACACGCTTATAATGGTACATAGAAAGCAACTAACACATTTCAGCATTTTCGCTACTAGTTCACCTTTTCCCGTTCTCCTTCAAACTCGCAGCATAGCTTCTCACGCCAAAACAAACACGCTTTCGCGAATGGACGGGCGTATTTACCAGGCAGGTAAATAGGTGCGGTGTCGTGAAGATTTTGTCATTTCAGCTTCAATTTTTTTGGATTTTTCAAGAAACGAATAATAAAAAACAAGAAAACAAAAAGGAAAATTTTCAGAGAGTATATCTTTAGAATTTCCAATCCACAGTCTCTCGTGTTGGAAATAAAAAAAGTTTTTTTCCTCCGTACAGTGTTGCCATTGTTCGTTTTGAAATCGTTGAGTTGTTTAATCAAAAATTCTTTAATGTTTGACAAAATATGAAAGAGATAGTAAAACAAGTTCCAAATGCCAAATTTGGGCTTCAAGATGCCCATATTAGAACGGAAGACTATGTTATTCAGAATTTGATGTCTCTAGCTACCGTTGTTTTACCACAATGCGAGAAACATAGTTACATTTATGCAAATTCTTCATTATTTAATTTCTTTAAATAAAATGCAGAGCTCTAGCATTTAGTGGCAACAATTTGAAAAGTGATATGCCGTTTATAGTGAGTCAACGCGAAATGGCAAAATGAAATTAATAACCCTTCTGGGCTAACGTACTTTGGGCTAATAAACTAAAAGGTTTATTTTAATTTTAGCTAATTTGTTTGATGGAAGCCCATTATCATTTCGTCTTCTTTCAAGATACAGCCGCGGAATGCTTTGAAAAATGATTCGTTGTCTGAAACATATGTGTGAATTCATTTTCAGATGAGTATTCATTTTCATATCTGATACATTTTCAAATTGATGGGGCGAGAAATTTTTCTATTACATCTTCAATCATAAATTCCCTTAGATTTTCATATTCTTTTAAATTTCAGAAATCGGTTTCAATTAAATGCCTTCCTGCGTCAAGTTTGCTAATTTCAAATTTCTCGCTGTATTACCTCGAAACAATATACAGACCCCACTGTGTGTATTTATAACTCTAAATAAAGACATCGAAAATACGAGCCAGTTTTCCAATCCTTTATGAAAGCATCCCTTCTCTTAGGCAGATATGCTCTCGTATGCTTTACCATATTACGTATTACAATAACCAAACATAACAACAAGGACACATATTAGAAATAAAAGTCAAATTCAATGACTTTAATTTTTAAACTTCGACAATTAACTTCACTGCAGATCAAAATAAAGTTAATTACAGCTTGCTGGCAAAAAAAAGAAATATTTACAAAAAATATTGACTGTAGTTTGCATTTAATAATTTGATTATAACTATCATCAAAAGCTACAATATTTTGCATTTTTTACTTCCTTGTACGAAGTAAAAAGGAAGTATTGTAATCGCGAAAAGTTTCAGGCAGCATATTTCAACGAAAATATCCACTTTGACCGCTTTCGAATGCAATTAACGATGTTTTTTGCGTCATATCTGTACGTAAGGACAGAATAAAAGAATCTTTCCTCCAAAAAAAACTAAAAACTGCTTTAAAAAATGAATTCTGAAGAAATTTTCGTGGCGTCGGTACGAACGTATGTACGTACGTGTGTACGTACGTATCTCGCATAACTCAAAAATGAGTAGCCTCAGAAAGTTAAAATTTTGTATATAAGGACTATTAAAACATGTAGATGTGCGCTCGTATTTTCGTTCCAATCGGCCGCGCCAAACATATATAATATTTATAAATATCCACTCTGTTACCCGGCTCAGTGATCTCAGTTTCTTTACTCTATATGTTGTAATTGTTCATTTTTGCTTTAAAAAAGATGGAATTATGTTTTTTTTTTATCTTCCGGTAAGGTTTTTATGCCTTTGTAAATCTGTATACAATCTTTTAGAATTATCACATTTTAAAGTTGTCTAAGTGCCGCTAAGCCTTTTATAATGGCTACCATTGATGTTTACATTTGAAACAGGAGATAGTGGATTTGTTGCCAATCTAGAGAAACTTAGCTTCGCAACAACAAAGATAACGCATCTTTTATTATTGCAATTAAATCATGCTAATTCTTTCTGGAATTTTTTTCGAGGAATAAGTGTTTGAGATTTACTTCGTAATTTTTAATATAGATATTTTAGTTTTTATGTATTTGCTTCTCGCGAAGTGAGAACTGAATTAATTGAATGAGAAAATACTCAATTGTCGTGAAAAACTGTTTCTTTTTTTTTTTTCTTTTGTTTTGTTTGCTTAAATTTCTTTTATACATCGTTCTAGCTTTATTATAGTATTTGAATAGAACATGTGGCAACGATTAGATAATTCTTTAAATGATATACATTTTGTGCATTCTGAGTTATAATATGAACGAAATATAATACTGTTAAAAAAGAAATATTTACGAAAAATAGTGACAGTAGTTTGCATTTAATAATTTGATTATAACTATCATCAAAAGCTACAATATTTTGCATTTTTTACTTCCTTGTACGAAGTAAAAAGGAAGTATTGTAATCGCGAAAAGCTTCAGGCAGCATATTTCAACGAAAATATCCACTTTGACCGCTTTCGTTAAGTAAACCTAGCGCCAGAGATTCACTGTTAAGTAAACCTAGCGCCAGAGTGTCGCTATGGTAAACAAAGTGAATTTTAAAGAATGCATTTATTCTATTGTGGTTTATGCGCTGTCGGCGAAGTAGGTTTAATTCAATCCAATAAGTTTAAATGAAATGCAAGAAAAAATGCGTATAATTTAATATTCCGTACAAGGAAGTCATGTGATGTATACATCAGATTTTTTAAGTTAAGCTGTCGGGAGGGAGGAAAAAGAATTGAAGCAGGGTAAATTCCAATCGGAAGTTCAACTTAGTTAAGTTAAAACGCGTTGTTGGTCTATGTTTCAGGAATTTTGGATTTCTAATTAATTGCGGAAACAAGAAATCGTTGAAAGTACGGTTCAAGAAACTGAAACACGGTGGTGTTTAACAATTAATAATTTTTAACTTTGCAGTCTGCTGTTATAGTTTGATTCCAGAGGAATTAGTTGACATTTTTGTTATCATGATTTAATGTGTAATATAAATAAACTACAAACAGAACGTTTTTAAAATTTTTTTTCACTGTCACGTTGTTTCCCTGTATACATCTGTATGCCAAATCATAAATCAAGTGCGTACCTTTACTTTTCCTTAATCGCTTTTCCTTATCACTTCCCCCATAAACTCACTGACGACAGGTAAATATTTCAGCGTATCTTTAGAGCCAAGTCTACTTCACTGTGATAAAAGGAGTAGGTTGACAATGAGTACAACTGTAAACCTTTTCGAAAATGCACTTTTCTAAGGTTTGTAATGGCAACCCGCCAAAACACGGGTTCATAGATATGTAAAGGTTTTGAGACATGTTATCTTTTCCTTTTATCTTACGTTATAAAGCATCAATATCTTTTCTGTAAGTTTATTGTAAGGGAGTTAAGCAACTAAGTTTATTAAATCACTTGACTGTAAGCATGAAAATTTAAGAGTTTCGACCAAAAGGTAAAAAAATTCTTCATTAATTCTGAGATTGTTGCATTCTGCAGACTTAAAACGTTTTCGTTGAAAAATTACAATAGCTACAAAATAAGGAAATTCAGTAAATAAACAAATAAGGATAATAAAATGTGATAAATATACAGTAAACTCGCTCTTGTTGTTGTTATTTATGCTCAGTCTGACAGCAGCATAAGACCAACCTACGAAATTCCTCGTGGCAAGGAGCCCTCGTGGACAACCAAAATTCCTCGTGGCACAAGATACGCCTGCCTATGAATTATCATCTATCACCTTTTTAGTTCGGGCGCCACCACTTAGAGAGACACTAGGAATTTTTAGAAGCAGGCAAGATAAAAAATTAGCAACGCCTTCGCCGGGAATCGAACCGCGAACCTCTGGAATACGCGCCCAGCGTGCAGACCACCACACCACTAAGGCATGCCAAGAAGGTGAGAGAAATACCTTATAAACCTGTAAGGTGCCTTGAGCACCTTACAGGTGACATTGGGATTTAACTCAGTCCCCCCCCCCAATTTTGATGGAGAGCACCCCGGGGGGGGATGGGTTCGAGGGTCTTCCACCCCTGTCCTCTTCCACCAAACCCCACGACAGCACTTTCGGCTCGCCGCATATTTGAAATGCCGCCATGCTGCACCGACACACATACATTTACAAACATCCATGCCTTCTCCGGGATTCGAACCCAGGCCCATCGGCACGGCAGTCAGCGATGCTAACTACTATACCGGTTGGGCGGCAGACTCCCTCTTAACCAGCCTAAATGGCACCAGGTTATGCCGGTTAAAGCGGAGAATTAAAAAAAAATTAATTGATGAAAATGCATCTTTTTTATACTTAAAATAATCATTAATTAAATATGTCAATTTACTATAAAAGTTTTACATATCATTGGTAGGAATGTTTAAAAAATTCAGTCATTTTTTTCTGCTGAAGGCTGGGACTCGCTACCCAAGTTCCCGCTAATATTTTTTTGTGTAAATCCGGCAACCTCTGCCCATAACTCAGCTATCATACAAACAGCTCCCTTTATATTAATTATGGTCAGTTTATAAGGTATTTCTCTCACCTTCTTGGCATGCCTTAGTGGTGTGGTGGTCTGCACGCTGGGCGCGTATTCCAGAGGTCCGCGGTTCGATTCCCGGCGAAGGCGTTGCTAATTTTTTATCTTACCTGCTTCTAAAAATTCCTAGTGTCTCTCTAAGTGGTGGCGCCCGAACTAAAAGGGGGGTGGATGATAATTCTCCCCACCCAGGATTTTGGGATTGGGCCTCCTAAAAACCCCAGTCGCCCTTTAAAAAGGGGATTATATAAGGTATTTCTCCCACCTTGCTAGCGTGCCTTCGTGGGGTAGTGGTCTGCATGCTGGGGCGCGTATTCCAGAGGTCCGTGGTTCGATTCCTGGCGAGGGCATTGCTCATTTTCCATCTTGCCTTCTTCCAAAAATACCTAATGTCACTACAGTCACTACATTATCGAAGTGAAGCCCGATAAATTGTATTTTAAAATTAGACATAATTCGAAATTAGACCCATGCTAGAGACCATGCATACAAACTATATGCATTTTGAGAGAATATAGCATTGGTTTCTTTCTTCCAGGAGCTTCATTATTCTCCTTAGGCAGAAGAGTAAGTTTAATAATGGAATCGGAAACATTTCTAATAGCTTAGATTCCCACAAGCGCCGAGCGGTAAAGTCGCTGAACACCGGTAGTTCGGTTACTCACTAGATGCTTCAGGACGGTCTCCTCCGAGGTTCTCTTTGTTCTGGCTGGTACTCCGCCCCTCTCAATTTTATATCAATTATATTTTGATAGATTTCTTTTAAGATCTGGAAATTTGGAATTCAAAGTTTTTGTAAATGAATTAATCACTAAAAATGCCTATGACAAATTTAATAGACTACTTTTTCATCCTTCTAAAAATATTATGTGTTCTTTTGATAAAATTTTACCTAGTAATAATATGTATGAAATTTATACGGATGGGTCAGGCATTGACAGTAATTTTGGAGCCGCTTTTGTTGTATTTTATTATGGTGTTGAGATTGATAATTATATGTATAAGTTGAATAAATATAACTCTGTTTTCCAGGCTGAGAGCTGTGCTCTGGAACAAGCTCTTTTGTATGTCTACCGTAGTTTGCCTCCGAAATCTGTTATTAATATATGTAGTGATTGCTTATCATTACTACAGAACTTACAAAATCCAATTATTTCCAACTATACTATATTTAATATTAAGTCTTTATACAAAAGTATTTCATGTATCAGTTCTTTAAACCTGCATTGGATTAAAGCCCACGTGGGGTTTGTCTGTAACGAGAGGGCGGATGTGCTCGCCAGACAAGCAGCAAAATCTGAAAATATTCCCTTCATCGAGATTTCAGGCTCCAGAAGACATGCAAATAGAATTATATTGGAGACCTATATTGAAGAGTGGAAAAATGACTGGAGTTTATCGGAAAAAATAAACGCTTTTTAAAATATATTGGCATTAAGAAAAAGATGAAAACTTTTAACAATATCGACTTGAATCAAATTCTCACTTCTCATGGTCGCTTTCCAGATTATTTGAATCGTTTTAATGTGCAGAATGGCAATATTTGTTCGGTGTGTAAAGTTGTTGGTGATACGAACCACTTCGTCTTCGATTGCATAATTTTTAAGGCCTTGAGAGACAGATTTAGAATTTCTATGAATACTGTTCCTGATTTCGAAAAATTGCAATCTTTTGCAGAGGCCGTCCTGGGGTATATCAATACCAACAGAATTAAATGTGGGGTTTTAATATAATATTTGAACTGTTCTTGTTTTATTCTTTGAATTTTAACTTCTGTATTTATGCTGTATGTTTTTATCTTGATGTTTTTAACTATATACTGATTTTATTGTATCTTTTATATATACGTTGTGATTTTATTTACTGGGTACTCACCAATAGATATTCGGCTTTTGTAGTTTTAGCATTTGCTGTTCATTGTATTTTATGTATTTTATGCTTTTATATTTGATTGACACTTAATTGTGTTTTTGAGATTTTATTGTATATTTTTCAGGCCCGAGGGAAGGCATGTATATTAATTTTTGTATTTTGTTTGTCTAAACCGGCTTCCTGGTGGGGATTATTGTGCTTGGAATTAAGATTTTTACTTCTCCATGTTAGCTGTGAAGAAAATTGCATTGTTTTTCACCGTAATTTATTATTGATTTCTGATATATCAAAAAGAGAAGACCTTATATCTGTATTTTTGTGTATTTGTGATGATTATTGTGTCTAAACACTGCTATTACATTTGTATTCATGATTTCTTTCTTTAAAAAACAATTAATGTTAAATTATAAAACTTTTATAGCACGCGGAGGCGTACAACCAATGTTCTATGTATGCTTTCAACACCTTTCACTATTCTGTATATCTGTTGGAACAGCTATTTTATAACTTTTCTTGAAATTGTAAATTTTTAGACTACACTGTTATAATAATTTGATTTTTTTTATATTATCATTTAGAATCACTGAGAACTAGCGTTTCAGTGATTATATCGGCACTGATCTTTCCAACGGTTTGAATAGTTCAGTTGGTTATGGTGTAGGAAGCTTTTCATTATTATACCTGTTTTACCTGTCTTGCCTTTGCTCTTTTTCTATTATTTTCTACTAACCATATTTCCTTTTATGTTTATGCAGCTTGCACTTTCTTTTCTTCTTTTGTATGATTGTTTATCAGCTTAGCGGCCACTTTTATTCTTAGTTTTATTTGTCTTAGTTTTTCTACTAACCTTTTTAGTTGCCCGGACCCTTTCAGCTCCTCGGCGTGTATTTAAAAATTTTTAAATTCTATATATATCTTTTATATCGGGCACGGCCGGACCGCTGGAGGCCGTCGTTTGTGGTTTGAAGGAGGAGGTACCATGAAGCCATAAGGCAGCTGTGCCAGGTGGGCGGTCCTTTTCTTTAGCTCTTACCGCTCTTACTGGTAGTTCGGTCTGTGGTTCGAACCCTGGCGAACGAGCTGGCTGCATTGGTGTTTTCGTAATTTTCCCCTTGTGTAACGTGTATACGAACCAGTTCCTCTTAAGAAAGTCCTTCACGAAGACATCTCTCTCCACAGGCAGATATAGCCCTCCAGTGCGTTGCCATAATTAAATAAAATATACCAAACCTAATAGATAAGATACTTGCTAAATCATCTATCAAACAAAAGACGGAAGTTTTCAGTCCTTCTGAAAGGAGGGAATTCGTTTACAGAGTATGCGATGCGTTTTCGCTCAGTAAATTGGCTTATATAAATTTAAGGCCGACCTTTGCTTCATTTTTAAAGATTTTTCTATATGCACTACATTATTTGCTACTGTATAAATATCTTAAAAAAAGCTGAATTTTGCGCAGGCGTTATCTCAAATTAAATTCTTCAATGAAAAGTACGTTTGATTATAAATTAAAAACTGTTGTAAAAGTACCTTAAAAAATAATTTATCTTAGTGCTTTAATTGTCTGTTAGTGAAACTAACATTACTTTGCAACTTAGGGGCTAAATTTTTACAAATGAAACTAATTAACAAATGCAAATATTCTAAAACGTAAAATGTGAATATATAGAATCATTAAAATATTTGTTTCCTATGTACTGTTAATTAAATTTTGAGCTAAAATTAATTTGTTCAACTTAAGAGTAATCAAATAACCAAAATTAACAATACAGCTATTTAATCAGAAAAGCAGAATTATGCATTAAAAGACATTTATTCAGATGTAAAATGCTCAGAAGCAGTTGCATTGTTTTTTGAGACGTGTTGCGTGTACTAATCAGTCAATATTATTAGAGTTTCAAATTCAATTTTTATTAAAAGAATAAATTCAAAATATCCCTTCTTGCACCGTTCATTCTTATGTAGTCGTTTCTCATTTGCAGATGGAAACAGTAACACCTGAAACAGTTCTTTCAGCTGTTTCAGGTGTTATTGCACTAACTTTGTAAAATA